CTAAATAGATCCAAATTCTAAAAAGACCTCTTACGAAGCGTGTTGCTGTTCCTGGCCATTTGTCCCTGTGGCTCCCTATGGATAGCAACCACTGCATTAAAGGGTCCCTGGTCAAAGCAAAAACAAAAGCTGAAGAATATGCTTACAGAATGCCATAGAACTGACCTGTAATCCGTAAAAGCTCACAATGAAATAAATCTTAGTCCTTAAAATACCACTGTACTTTTGTTTTGTTTTTGTCACATATACTGCTTATTAGGAAATACCTCAAGCTTGATTTTGATAGGATGCACAACAGTATCCAGATATCTGTGGATGTTTCATCGATGGAAGCTTTCACTCACCAAAATCTATAAAATTTTGAGAAAATAACGACATATAATGAGCTTTTAAATGAGGAAGGACTATTAAAGACAAAAGATCAATTAGACAGTCAAGGACTGACTTTTTCATGGTGGCCCCAACTACAACTACAATCAATCTATAATCACAACAACAAAACACGAGGATTTTATAGAGAATACATAGCATTTGATAAAATGTTACTCACTACAGAAAAAAAAAACAAATTCAAAAAGTATATAAATTTTTATTGCAATGGGACACCCAAGATGAAGAGGTTAAAGAGACAATGATAAAATGGTAAAAAAAATTTGGGTATAGTATAGATCTTGAGAAATGGCAACAAATGTGGACCAAAAATCTTAAGTTAACATAAGCAACATCTTATAAGGAAAATATATACAAAATGTTTTATAGATGGCATCTCCCTCCATCCAGACTTGCAAAAATTTCTGCCAACATCTCAAATAAGTGCTGGAAATGCAAAAACCAAGAAGGAACTTATTACCACACATGGTGGACATGTGATATCGCAAAGAAATATTGGGTCAAAATTCATACATGGATTAAACAAATGATTAAGCAAGAAATACAATTTAAACCAGAAATTTTCTTATTGAGATTAATGCCAAATAATATAAATAAGCAAAGTTATTATATAATGTCACATGTCCTGACAGCTGCTAGATTAGCATGGGCACAGGTATGGAAAGAGGGAGACCCGCCAAAAGACAAATTGATTATTAAAAAATATTACAGTGTGCAGAAATGGACAGACTAACAAAGAGACTAAAAGGGCAAGAAAAATCAACTTACTACGAAAGCTGGAACCTATTCTATGAATGGTAGAAAACAAAAACTTTGTAATAAATAGAAAGTAAATGACCAAAATGAATAATATGGAGAAGATATTGCTAAAAGAAATGTATTATTATACAAAAGGCTATATATATAGCCTACAAGCCTTTTGTATAATAATACAGTACATTTCTTTTAACATATATATATATATGATGGTGTATTTTACATATTTGTAAGTTTTGTGTTGGGAAAATAAAATCTGAAAAAGAGATATCTTGGATGGGTGATGTGGAGAAGTCAAACAAAAGATTAGTACTAGAGGAGAAGAAACCTTGTGTTTTGTCTGTGAGGTGTCTTTCAAGCCTGAGTGCTTAGGGTTTCCTGCTGGCTCGTTTCAGGTAACCTTCTAATGACTGTATATTTGATGCATGCCTCTGTGGCACATATAAGTGTACTTAGTGCAAATCTAGCTAACTGGGATTAGCAATGGGAGAGTGTGGAAGAGACATTAAATACATCTGTCACCTCAGGCTTGTTGGGAGAAAGGATATAACTAGAACAAATAATGAAGAGTGTGCTGAAGTTACAGGAAGTAGATTTTGGTTGAATATCAGGAAAAACTTCATTACAGCAATGGAATCAATTATCTGGAGAGGTGACGAGTGCTCCAACACTGGAGGCATTAAAGAGAAATGTAGGCAAACACCTAGCAGATATCCTTCGATTTGTATTCCTGCATTGAGCAGGGGGTTGGACCTGATGGCCTTATAGACCCTTTACAACGTCATGATTCTATGATTTGAAGCAAGCCAGCCAGCCAGCCCGTGAGGAAGACCAAACATGAGACAGACGGACTCCCTTAAAGATCCCACGGGTTTGAATCTGCAAGAACTGAGCAGAGCAGCTGAGGATGGGACATTTTGGAGAGCACTCATTCATAGGGTTCCCATGAGTTGGAGGTAACTTGATGGCACATAACAACAAACTAGCCCCATTCCCCAGGTTAATGGCCCAGGCTTCAGGTTCATGGACAGCTGATCTGATCTGAGCAGGTTTCCCTTACTTTTCCCAACACATGTGTCATAACTGCAGGAGCAGTTACTCTACTTGCCATGGGTTAGACAGGAAGTAACTTGCACATATAGACATCAACAAAAGGATTCAGACAGAGTGAGTTTGTAGTCTCTGAAATCCCTGCCTCTTGGTCATATTAATTCGGCATACCTCCCACTGAGAACCATTGACGGTCAAACTAGATCAGGGTGGGCAAAAAGTGTCCCTCCAGCTGTTCCTGGAATGCCTCTCCAATCAGCTGTTAATGGTAAGGCATGCTGGAAGTAGTAGTCCCAACAAGATGGGAGGGCCTCGAGCTCTTTTACCATGTTTAGATTTTAGGGGAAGTTTGGCTGTCTCACAGTTACAATAGCAGCTTGATTCCCCCCCCAAATTATTCCCAACTTCAGTTTTTGTGGCATGGAAGAGGTTGGTTTCCTGTTTCATTTTTGCCAAGCCCAGCTGCGTGTGGAGGCTTATCCCAGACATTAGGTCATTGGGCATCCAACCAGCATGTTCATTTTGGCATCCTCTGAATGCCCCTCCCCTTGGCAAGAAAATATAAAGTGTATTGTGTGTGTAGAAAGACAAAATCTTCAATCCCAAATTAGCACAGGGTGTGGCCTGAGTATCACTTATGGGAATAGGAAAAGATGCTACCGTTTAATATGGCATTGACTAAATTTAACATCAAGTTGGCTGGATAGCTCACTGCTTTAGATATTTGGCAGTGGAGTCAGATGTTGGGAGTTTGATTTTTCCGCTGTGCTTCCTAGGGGATGAGCCAGCCTGTGTGGCATTGTGCAAGGTGCGCAGTCCTAGATTGCCTTCAGGAAAAGGGAATGGGAAACCACCTCTGAGTATCCCCTTCCTGGAAAACCCTGAAAAAGGTCACCATAAGTCGGAAACAATTTGATAGCACATGATTATAGCTGGCCAGACAGCTCAGTGACTTAGTTACCTGCCCAAGGAGTTCACTGTTCCCAGAGTTTCCCCAGAAGAAGGGAATGGCAAATCACTTTCGTGTGAAGAAAGCCAGCCTGTGTGTTACTGTTCACTGTTCCCAGAGTGTCCCCAGAAGAAGGGAATGGCAAATCACTTTTAAGTATTCTCTGCCTAGAAAAGTATGAAAAGGGTTGCCATAAGTCAAAATTGACATGACAGCACATGATTATTATTAAATTTACCATTACATTCTTGTAGAGGAATAGGATGTTGACTGAACAAAAATTGACATGACAACACATGATTATTATTAAATTTATCATTAAATGCTTGTAGAGGAATAGGATGTTGACTGAACACCAAAGATGGAATGGAATTTTAATGCAATAGAAAATATTATTTATCAACCAAGGATGGTCTGGACCCTCTGAAATCATGTAGAAATGAAGTTGGGAAATTAAAAAGCTGTAGCAGTGCAGACAGACAGTATATGACAACACATGATTATTATTAAATTTATCATTAAATGCTTGTAGAGGAATAGGATGTTGACTGAACACCAAAGATGGAATGGAATTTTAATGCAATAGAAAATATTATTTATCAACCAAGGATGGTCTGGACCCTCTGAAATCATGTAGAAATGAAGTTGGGAAATTAAAAAGCTGTAGCAGTGCAGACAGACAGTATTAACTACCTGCATGTTTCTCTTTAGAAGTGTATTTGCTATAAAAGTATTTCCTGAAGGACAACCGAGGAATTGACAAATGCTTCCAGATGAACAGCGTATATTCAAAATGCTGTGCGGCTATTCCAGCGTTTCCTGTTTAATGGATTTTTGTGGAAAGAAAAAAAGGATGAAAAAACATGGTGGGGAAAAAAGGTTACTAGTGGAAGACAACTTTGTCTGGACTTGATAAAAGTTTGTAAATGAGGCAGGTTGCACAATGAAAGCCTCATGTTGAAGCACCCAGCATACCAAGGAAAAGGAGCCCTCGTGATAAACCGCTCCACACACAGCATTATTGTCCTAAACCACAGGCCCTACTCCAAAATGTACGTTTCCAGAGACCACAAAGAACTGGTCACATTCTTGAGAGTGAGAATGTTTACAGAACTTAGTTAACATTTTAAAACAGCCTCCTGGAGTATAAAAAAGGAGTGACAGAGCTGTTTTATCAGCCTCACTGGCCCAGAAAGTAGAAATTGTGTCATGTTTGGGAAACAAATAACAATCGTTATGGACTAGTAAACTGCTCAGATTGTTTCTCCTTCTCCTTTTTTTTCGGGGGGGGGAGTCACTGCCCTCCATCCAAAAGACAAGCGCTTCTCCTAGCTAGGAACCCCACTTATGCTGTTCAAACCCACTTCTCTCCAAGGCTTAAGAGGCCAAAGTATCAATCACTCTAACCCCGCCCTTTCCCCCCCCTGACCACACCCCCCTCAGGCCACGCCCGCGTCTCTATAATCAGCGGCGGCCCGCCCTCCCCATTGGCAGACGTAATCCTTTTTGCCAGGAGGCGGGTTTGTGACTTTTCTATTGGTCGCTGTCCCGGTTTTTTTCTGCCTCCGCCCAGAGACTCCCGTTCGTCCGTTCGCGCCCTCAGCCACGCCTCTTTTCTGCCGGACTGACCACACCCCCCTCAGGCCACGCCCGCGTCTCTATAATCAGCGGCGGCCCGCCCTCGCCATTGGCAGACATAATCCTTTTTGCCAGGAGGCGGGTTTGTGACTTTTCTATTGGTCGCTGTCCCGGTTTTTTTCTGCCTCCGCCCAGAGACTCCCGTTCGTCCGTTCGCGCCCTCAGCCACGCCTCTTTTCTGCCGGAGTCCCCGCCCCTCGGTATAAAAACACTCAGCGTCTCTTCCAGCTGTTTTTTTTCCCCCCGCGCGGGTCCCGCCTTGCACGGCGGAGCGGAGAGGCCGAGAAGAGCGCGCCCCCCCTTCCCACGCCTGCGCACGGCTGAGGAGCCAAGACCGGCCGAAGGAAGCAAGCAAGCAAGCAAGCTCCCTTGACCGAGAGAGAGGGGCGTCGTCGTCGGAAGTCTCCACCCGAAGGGAAAAAAGCTGAGAAAGAGCATGGCGCTCTCGGTGCCGGTCAACGGGGTGAAGGAGGAGGGCGGCGGCGACAAGGAGCCCGTCATCGAACTCTTCGTCAAGGTAAAAGGGGGGCTCCTCGGGAGACGCCCCCCCTTCTCGTGGCCTGCAAGGAGTAACGCCGGCTCGTTCCTTTTTTCTCTCTCCGTTCCTCAACTTGCCCTGCCCGTTCCTCCCTGGGGGCATCAAAAGGCTTCCTTCTGCCTCCGCATCCCAGAGCAGCATCCTCCCTGCCGTGCTTCTAGGGCCGCCCTCGACTCTCTCTCTCTCTCTCTCTCTCTCTCTCTCTCTCTCTCTCTCTCTGTGTGTGTATGTACATGTGAGAGAAGGAGAGCGACAGAAACGTGCATGTTTTAAACCAAGAACTCTAAAGTAATTGTGCCCGAGGTCTTTGGCCCCCGACTTTGCCCATCGCTTTCCATCTCCCTGGGATTAAGCGCTCTTGGTTCGACTCCCGATTCACACGTCTAGCGCGGAGACGTGGGCAGGCAACTTTAGCAGATTTTGGGGGGGGGGCAGTTTCCCGAAGTGGGCACATAGGCTGCCAAAAAAACGCTGCCAGAAAGTTCCCCTCCAGTTGTGAAAATCATTTGGGAAAGAGAGAGTGTTAAGCGGTGCAGAGTGTGAACTCTATGAAAGATAGTAATTTTTCGAAACTTCCAGCATCTGCAGCTGACATCCTTTTGGTGCCCTTTTGAGTTAATGCGATTTGTTATCTGATTTGTAATTTATTGTCCATTGTATGTTTATACTGGTTTTATCTGCTTTGAAACCACCCAGAACAGTGCTTTTGTACTAATTGGGCAGTGCATACATTGAAGCAATTGATTTCTCCTCCCTCCCAAAAAAGGAGGGGACCAGGAAAGGACGGGAGAGTGGAAGAACAGCCTTGGAGGATTGTCCCAGGGTTGCACTTTATCCACCCTTGTTGTAGGGAGATATTCTCGACTCCCTCTGTTCACAGTGACTGGGCACTATCTCCTTGGGTTGGGCTCCTGGACATTGCACCTGACACCTCCTCAAGTGGCGCTTGGGATAAGAATAGCCTGGTGCTGTTCATGTGTCCCTCCAAGTAGGCGTTACTCAATTCAATTCGGCAAAGTTTTCAAGGAAGCATCCCGTATGTAGGTTACATAAAATAACACATTGTGTAGGTAGACAGCAAGGTAATATGGGGGGGGGGCAGTTCGGTTGCTTTCACTTCCTAGGTCCACACAATTGTGGTCCCTATAGCATTCCCTTTTGTTGATTTTCTAAATATACAGATTGAACCTTCACTCATGAAATGGATTTCAGCGTGGCAAAGATATTCAATAAACAAAACCTAGAGTTTTAAATTCCTGATTGGAGGCTCTGCTCTGTGACCCTCTCATGATGAGAACTGTCACCTTGGCAGGTGGGGATAAGGGCTCTGGCTATCAGTAGTGGCCTCAAGTTCTCCAGACTCACACTAAGTATGGGTCCCATCCCTTGTAACTTTTAAAAAGCGCTGCGCTTAGCTATTCTGATGTGCCTTTGGTGTTTAAAAACGCTGCCAGAAAGTTCCCCTCCAGTTGTGAAAATGATTTGGGAAAGAGAGAGTGTTAAGCACTGCAGAGTATGAACTCTATGAAAGATAGTAATTTTTCGAAACTTCCAGCATCTGCAGCTGACATCCTTTTGGTGCCCTTTGAGTCAATGTTATTTGTTATCTGATTTGTAATTTATTGTCCATTGTATGTTTATACTGGTTCTATCTGCTTTGAAACCACCCAGAACAGTGTGTTTGCACTAATTGAGCAGTACACACATTGAAACAATTAATTAATTAATTAATTGATCCTCCCCCTAAAAAAAGGAGGGGACCAGGAAAGGATGGGAGAGTGGAAGAACAGCCTTTGAGGATTGTCCTAGGGTTGCACTTTATCCATCCTTGTTGTAGGGAGATATTCTCTATCTGCTTTGAAACCACCCAGAACAGTGTGTTTGCACTAATTGAGCAGTACACACATTGAAACAATTAATTAATTAATTAATTGATCCTCCCCCTAAAAAAAGGAGGGGACCAGGAAAGGATGGGAGAGTGGAAGAACAGCCTTTGAGGATTGTCCTAGGGTTGCACTTTATCCATCCTTGTTGTAGGGAGATATTCTCGACTCCCTCTGTTCACAATGACTGGGTACTATCTCCTTGGGTTGGGCTCCTGGACATTGCACCTGACACCTCCTCAAGTGGCGCTTGGGATAAGAATAGCCTGGTGCTGTTCATGTGTCCCTCCAAGTAGGCGTTACTCAATTCAATTCGGCAAAGTTTTCAAGGAAGCATCCCGTATGTAGGTTACATAAAATAACACATTGTGTAGGTAGACAGCAAGGTAATATGGGGGGGGGGCAGTTCGGTTGCTTTCACTTCCTAGGTCCACACAATTGTGGTCCCTATAGCATTCCCTTTTGTTGATTTTCTAAATATACAGATTGAACCTTCACTCATGAAAAGGATTTCAGCGTGGCAAAGATATTCAGTAAACAAAACCTAGAGTTTTAAATTCCTGATTGGAGGCTCTGCTCTGTGACCCTCTCATGATGAGAACTGTCACCTTGGCAGGTGGGGATAAGGGCTCTGGCTATCAGTAGTGGCCTCAAGTTCTCCAGACTCACACTAAGTATGGGTCCCATCCCTTGTAACTTTTTAAAAGTGCTGCGCTTAGCTGTTTAGTCATACGCAGTCGTTAAGTTGTGTCCGATTCTTCGTGACCCCATGGACCAGAGCATGACAGGCCCTCCTGTCTTCCACTGCCTCCCAGAGTTGGCTCAAATTCATGTTGGTCGCTTCAATAACCCTGTCCAACCATCTTGTCCTCTGTCATTCCCCTTCTCCTCTTGCCTTCACTCTTTCCCCACATCAGGGTCTTTTCCAGGGAGACTTCTCATGAGATGGCCACAGGATTGGAGCCTCAGCTTCAGTATCTGTCCTTCCAGTGAACACTCAGTCCTCATTTTAGATTATCCTTCCCATCATGGGTGGTGCCTTTCAACTGGGAAACCCTCAGTGTCCCATTAATATTAGAAGAAAGGAGTATCCTCCCTTTCAGTTATCAGGGTGGGACTTCTGGATTCTTTTGGATTCCCAACCCCCAGAATTCTCCAAAACTTCTCTAGATAGAATTCCAGGAAGTGGAATCCAGAACCAGAAGTCTACATACCAACTTTCTTTAACTCTGTGAGTGACTGTTTCAGCCATGTTCTCATTTCAAAAATAAGGGAAGTTGGGCTTTCTAGGAAGAATAATCTCACTGACCATTAGGCTTCATAGAGAGTTCTTCCCAAAGAATTAGTCCTCTGATTTAGGCAACAGCTGGGAATAAAATTTAGAGAATTAGTGGTAGAAGGATCCTAATATGTCCCTAGCCTGTATAAATTGTTCCTGAAGGTTTTGATCAGCTTGTAGTACTGTCTTTTACAAGCAATTTTGTATTTTGTGTTTGACTAACTTGTGCTGATAAATATTACTTTTTCAGTGGCTTGTGTGTTTCCTGTGGGAAAAGTTCAATTAAAGTTTTCAAATAATAGTTGAAATGTGGATTGCTTCCTTAGCCCTTTGTTGCTTTTCTCTCACATTCTCTGACCCAATCCTGGCTCCACAGAGACAGAAAGTGGTGTTTGTTGAAAAGAAGCATTCTTCCCAGTAGTGAGATAACAGGCATGATACGAGTAAGTACATGATATCATAGTGAGTTTGCTGTAAGTCAATAATGGAATAATATTTTTCGCTCCATAAGACGCACCTTTCCATAAGACGCACCAATTTTTTAGGAGAAGAAAACAGGAAAATATAATCTGTTTTCTTCGCTCCATAAGACACACAAACTTTCCACCCCCGTTTTGTGGGAAAAAAGTGTGCCTTATGGTGCGAAAAATACGGTATATTTTTGGGAAGTGCTGTATCCTCAGAACACATAGTGTTATTTCCACTCTTCTTTGATGTAAGAGATAAGATGATGGTACACTAGCCATGTATAGTTTTTGTTATAATTTCTGAGATGTCTTCCCTTGAATTGCTGGATTTGTAGGAACTTCCTTCTGCATGAAGTGTCCTTGAGTTTCTGTAGTTCCCTTCCTCCATTGCTAAAAACAGTGGCTTTGTAATAATATATATTCTGTGTTACAAGTTTGAGGTTAGCTCTCATTTGATGAATCTCTCTCCTTTCAGTTCCATTTTCTTCTTTATCTTCAGTTTTCTATTTATATGAAAGAATTCATTATATAACATTCAACATTATTTTTAGAAGGGTTAAACATTTGGCTAAGTAAATAGTTTTGGAACAACATCTTTCATAACAGTGTCGAAGTTGATTGCAAAAGGTTTATAAAACAACTTTCTGGGAAACGATCGTTGTATGTTGCCTTACCGTCAGTCTTTGCCTGGCTTGATCACACTCTGGGTTTAAGATCTGTTTAGTGCAACTTTATTTTGAGACGCCTATTTTCCAAAATAAGTTCCCTTCCCAGTGCTCTGATAAGAAAATCTCCTCTTTGCATTCTTGCCTGCTTCCGTAACAGAGACATGTTCTTAACCTAAGTGCCCTTCTCTCTGGCATATAACAGACACAGTTGAGAGGAAAAAATCTTGAACTGGGAATAAAGGGTGGAGATTTAATGGAGTCTGGTCTGGATGAAGTAATGTTCTTTAGAAGTCATTACTTCATGCAGCGTATGACTAAACCATTACTCACTTGCTCTTGGAGGTGGTGGAAGGAAGGTTGGCTTGAGTTCCTCTTTCCAGTCCTGCCAGATTTTGGTGTTATGAGCTAATACGAATCAAATTTAAAAAGTGATTCTCTTTATGCAGATAAATATTTGAGTCTTTGTTACCTTAGATTTATAAACACGTAATCACATCACTGATTCCACCCCTGCTGTCATCAACTTGTTGCACCAGTCTTGAAGTGTAACCCTGATGAATACAGGATCTCATCACTGGTCTTGTGCGGTGGTGGAATTGTCTTGAAAACAGGAATAAATGTGCATCCTCTAATAATTTTTAGAACTGCTTCCTACGCTGATCTCACGGCTGGGGGTTAGGCA